TAAAGTCAGAATTTAAATAAAGTGGTACTGTGGTACCACTCAGTGAAGATTTCTTTTTACTTAAGCAACCACCATTAAAAACTGCAATTTTTCTGGATCATTTATGGAGTTTTATTCAGGCAGTCATGCCTTTTTTAAATTAGGGGTCATTTTTTAAAAGACCGTGAGCTGCTTAGAGACTTTCTGGAATTGGGTGGTCTGAAAATCCTATTTTTAAAAAAGGAAATATTATATTTCAATCCTGTTATAATCCAAAAACAAAATAAGACTTAGTTCTGATGTGAACATTTCCCCCCTGCAGTTTATTGATCTGGAATGTTTACCACCAAACCTCTCAGATTCATTGCTATTACACAATATGAATGACTGCCCTTTGGCCAAGGACAGGTGGTCTCCTGATGTTTGCAGGACTGCAACTCCAGTCAGCTCAACTGATAACAACAATTTAAACAACTAAAAAAAACCAACCACCCTGGTTTCCCAGCTATACTAAACAGCCATCTGTTCCAGCTTTCTGTTGTCTAATAGAAGCCTATTGTAGATCCTCACGTGTGGGATGAGGATAGTGAAGCCTCTCTTGATTTCAGCTTCTGGTGACTTAATGGATATCTCCATATACTTTTCTGGGTACAGTAAAAAAAAAAAAGGCTGTTGTTGCCTCTTTTCGGGGGTTTGCTGACTTCTCCCTCCAATCCAGGGCAGCCTGGTGAAAAACTCAAAGTCATCTAGTGGTTTAAGCCTAGTGGTTTTCCACCCTGAGCAACTTTATGCGTGGACTTCAACTCCCAGAATTCTAAGGCCAGCAACGCTGGCTGTAGAATTCTGGGAGTTGAAGTCCACACATCTTAAAGCTGCAAGGATGAAAAACACTAGATTAAAGGGCGTTAGAATGGCATCAGAAACACCCGGATTCTATTTCACCCTCAGCCATAGAGACATCTATCAGCACCACCCATTTCAAAGATTGGCCCGGGGAGAAACAGGAAGAGGAAGCAGTAGGTGCTCAGTCAGAGAAGTGGGGGCTACAAATCGAAGATATATTTTTGTACCTCTCGACTCACCGTCGCCTTGTGTCCTTGAGCAAGCCGAGAAGTCTCCGCGCGTGGTCTTCGCCTCTATGAAAATACAGAGGGAGGGTGAAGTCCGAAAAGAATATATATTTATTTGATCAGAAGGGGTCATCGGGCGTTTACTTCCGAGGGCTCGGGGCTTGAGGAAATAAATTTTCCCCAATGAGACACCGTAAGGAATAAAATGGCGCCTCCCACAGACCGGCCCCATGAAGGCCGCCATTGTTGCCGTCTGGGGGCGGGAGGCCGCTCCGGCTGCTGTTGCTGATGGCCGATTTCAAACGCTGGAAAGAGCAACGGCTATCGCGCGGAGATGCGAGCCGAAAGGGCAGCGTGGACGAGCCAATTGAGGAGATCGTCCGGCTCCTGAATGGCCGCGAGACTTTCTGCACCACCAGCTCGTGCTCGGGACGGGTGGTGGTGCTGGAACAGCCTCCGGCTGCCGCCCCCGCTGCGGTAAGCCCGCGTTCGACCTCGGCTGCGCATCGCAGATCTGGAGCCGAGCTGAGGTTTGGGTGGAATCGCTCCCTCCTCCTCTGGATCCCCCACGGGGGTTGTGACCGTAACCAAATCAATTTCTTTGGGTGTGAAAGCGCTGTTTTGGGGTCAGCTCTTCTCTGGGTTAAGGCTCTGCCCCATGCGAAGCTCCGCGAGACCCTTGTGACGACGCAAGAGTGCAGAGAAGAGCAACAGAGATGATTAGGGGACTGAAGGCTAAAACATGAGGAATGGTCGCAGGAACTGGGTATGTCTAGTTTGATGAAAAGAAAGACTAGGGGAGACATGATAGCAGTGTTCCAATATCTCAGGGGTTGCTACAAAGAAGAGGATTTCAAACGATTCTCCAAGGCACCTCATGGTAGGACAAGAAGCAATGGGTGGAAACTAATCAAGGAGAGAAGCAACCTAGAACTGAGGAGAAATTTCCTGACAGAACAATTAATCAGTGGAACAACTTGCCTCCAGAAGTTGTGAATGCTCCAACACTGGAAGTTTTTAAGAAGATAGTGGATATCCATCTGAAGTAGTGTAGGATTTCCTGCCTAGGCTGGGGTTGGACTAGAAGACCTCCAAAGTCCCTTCCAATTCTGTTATTCTATTCTAATGTTGACACCTATAAAGTTGTTGCTGCTCT